GGTAATACCTCTTGCAAGTCAGCCGACGGATCAGATTTGGCTAAATCTGCCACAAATAACTTGAACGTTGGGTTAGGTCTGCCGGCCTTTCAATGAATATAATGTTTAAATTTTAAATAAATATTTCACGAAATGATTTCTTAATGGCTTTTACTTTTGGATATTTTATTTTAACAGTTTTTGTATAGAGATTTGTGGCGTCAATACCGTTGCCATACCAGGGATAGGACATGACGTCCACTTTTGTGTCGTCAAATTGGGCGAAACAGAGTCGGGAGCCGTCGGGCGCCCACCACAGGGCGCTACTCGAGCCCAACACCTCCTCCTCGTACACCCAATCGGGAATACCATTGTATATATCGGGTCCGACACTATCCACAATCACTTTAGTGTCCGTCGAGTTTGCAATGTCTTTATAATAGATGGTATTTTTGGCGATGAATACAATTTGCGAGCTCTTAGGCCGCGGACCCCAACCCGCAAACTGCAGATCTGTTTCACTTTTATCATTGGGTGGACTGAGAAGTATTGTCTCTCTATATTATGCATACAAACAGTCGTTACGTTTAATATATTTATAATAAAAAGGCAAAATTTAATTAATAATTTAAATTTAATGCTAACATAAAGAATATTCTTTGAAAAAATGTAAGTATAAATAAATAGTGATGTTATGATGGGTTTTAAAAGCAAGCACTCACTCCGTGGCGATGTTATAAATGAGATGTTTGGCGATATATGTGTGTCTAAAGAGCTATAAAGTTATGATAAGGAATAGAGAAAAGAAAGATATGAGTTGTTGTTGTTGTGGAGGAGAGAGTCATAAACATTTTTTGTCCTCAATTCCCGATGTCTTTCATAGACAACAACAACTGATATACTGTACAAAACTGTGTATATATACGGACTGTTAGAGTACTTACTTTTTTCATGTCGTAAACTAATAACAAAAACTGGCGATCAGACGACAGAGAGTATGTTTGAACGTTATGTTGTCTCTGGGATGGCATATAGCGATTGGAAACATAAAAAAATACAACAAAAATAAAGTTTTTTTTTCATTATAAGTATCTCTCGGCAGTAAAAATGCTTTTATCGCTGCAAAACAAAAATATATATTTCACACAACAAAATACTACTCACAAAAACTTGATTGTGTACTAATGGTTGGGGTTTAAGTGGCACTGAATTCATATCTAATTTGACTAAATCTCCCGAAACATCCCTATAGATGAGCTCGTGATCGGTGATCCACGTGCCGTTGTAGGCGCTCGGATTGAACACCCCTTGCAATACATGATCCAATTTTAACTTCTCTTTGTCCGCTTTGTTACTGAATTTATCTGAAAAAGTGTCACAACATTTAGCAAAATAAATAAACGTTTGAAAAGCATTAAGATTTGTAGGGATTTAAAGGCAATTGGATTTTGCAAATACTTTGTATGTCTGGGTTTATCAATACGACGGATGAAGCGATGGCACCGCAAATGGCGAGTATAACCATCACTGCAATCGTCACACCCTTCCAGTTATTGCTGTCCGCATCCGCCACCGGCAGCTCCTAATCATGTATTCAATTAGTTTTGATTTAATTCATTATATTTTT